TTTTTTAATTTTTTTTTTTGGGGGGGGGGTTGTTGGGTTTTTTTTTGGGGGGGGGGTCATACTTTTTGTACAGAATCCAATGCTTTCTTACTTTTTATTTAAAAATAAAATATATCTAATACAGTCGAACCTGCCTTAACGGAAACCTGTCTTAACGGAATCTCCCCGTTCCCCCCTTGATATATTCCTCTTTATTTACCTGTATAAAACGGAAACCTGTCCAACTCGGAAACGGGAAGAAAAATCCGCTCCCTTCCGAGGGTTTGACCTGTCTAAGACGGAAAATGCTTTGCACGCTCAACCTTGATTTGAAACAAACTCTCAAGTTTGATTCCTCCGGCTCTAAAATTAACGCTATGACTATGCCGCTGGCCGAGGAAGAGGAGTAGGGGTGCGATTTGGGGGTAGATGTTACCCTATCAAGTGAGCCCTGAGCGATGCAGATGGTCAGTGTAGTGTGGGTGTGAAATCTCACGACTTCCCGTGAGAGTGCTCGAGTAGCGAGCCACTACAGAAACTTTCCTGGGTAGCAAGGAGGTTAAAAGTAAGCTCCTTGCTGGGTAGCCAGAAGCCAGAGGTGTGAAATTAGATTGACCAATGTCTGCCGCCCTGATCGTACGGCCAGCAGAGAAAAGAGTTCCTTGACTCCTTGAATCATTGTTACATGATGGCAGTGAGGGGTGGCATTGGTGGGTGGGGCTAAGGATGGGATCAAAAGAGGTGAAACAGTGGTCCTATGAAAGGCAAGCACTGGTGGTAAATAAGACTGACGCATGTCATTATCAGACAGGATAGCAATTGAGAGGTGTGAAGTTTTCACCACTGCTTGCCGATCGGACAAGCGATCCTTGATCCCACCGGCTGGGCCTTTGAACCCCCCCCCCCCCCCCCAAATACCACAATTCCCCCCCCCCCCTAAATTCCCCTGTCTAAGACGGAATTTCTTTCTGGCTCCCTTGCGATTCCGTCTTACACAGGCTCGACTGTAATTTCAAAGATATTCCACATTCTGTAGGATAGTGTTCTAAAACAAAATATTTTCGGAAGACAAAGTTTGGTGTTTTATCTTCGAGCGTATAGTACACAGCCGCCAGCTGATTGATTATTGTTATTGTTGCTTTTAAGAAGAAAAAAAGAAATCATACACCGCCACTCAATATCTAAAAGTATAAGGCATAACAAAAATATAAATAAGTTCAAAAGGCTATATGTACTGAATACAGTATGCTGATTTTCGATTATACTCAGTCAGTATCGTCATTTGTCATGGAAATCATTTTAGAGGAGAATGTTTTTCCGTCGCTGCCGGGATTCGAACCCGGGACCTTTGAATGAGAGACGAACACCTTAACCTCTAGGCCACGAAAGCCCCCTATGCCTGACGATACTGACGTCCATCTCGCTACCCAGTACACGTACTCGTCTTCATCTGTAAAAATACACATAGTCATACATGTATTATTTCTCCTTAAAGAGCTCTTTTTTTAGAGGTGAAGGAGCATTTATGTGTTCGGGCGTCTCGTCACGTTTCACATAATTAGTAAGGTGGGGGAAAATAGGGGGGGGGGGGGAGAGAAATATGACTGTATGCTTGGATTACATTCCTGATAATATTTTTCTTTTCCTTTGCTGCCTCACTGCATATTTTATATGAGTTTTTGTTCATTGCATTCATTATATTATACTGTGGTTTAGCTTTTGATGGCCATTCCGTGGAGAATTATTGAAACTGCAATGACACACGCAACTCGAAGATCACGACCAAATGAAGAAAAAAAAATCAAAGCCATGGCGTTAAGTTATAGATCCATCCTTTATTCTATTTTTTATTTATTTGTGTGTGTGCGTGTGTGTGTGTGTGTGTGCGCGTGCGTGTGTGTGTGTATGTGAGTGTGTGTATGTGTGTTTGTGTAGTGTGTGTGTGTGTATGTGTGTGTGTGTGTGTGTGTGTGTGTGTGTGTGTGCAGAAATGTCCTGGGACGGGCCTAAAA